CCTGTACATCGTCGAACAACATGTTCCATGATAGGTGGGAGGTAAGACTGGCAAAAAAGGCCGAAATCAGGGTGTCAAAAGCTCACAAGGCCCATGGCAAACGCAAGATGTTGAGAATTGGCCATTTGGGTCATGACATGACCTGAAAAAGAAGGTCATATCTCCGAAACCAAAAATCACAGAAACTTGAAATTTTCAGTGGACATCAAGAAAGGATAGACGAGCAGCTATACGAAAAATCAGCCTTCTAGCTCTAAAAATGTTGAGTGCAGAGCAGAAAGACTGCTTGGGGGGGTGGCAACCACCCCCCATGTGCGGGCGAGGGTTAACATTTACATTGCAATAATTTATTATTTGGCCTTATGAGGCAGGTGAAAAACCTGCTCATACAATAGTGTCATAGCTGAACACCTGATAGGAAGGAATGTGCAAGTTCAATGCCGTGCCTCCAGAGGTCTAACGGACCTCTCACATAAGACTTGGCTAACTACCAGGGCTGCGGAGTCGATGGATTTTCGGCGACTCCGACTCCGACTCCGACTCCGGCTTTCAAAAACCAGCTCCGACTCCGACTCCGACTCCGGCCAGAATTGTCGACTCCGACCGACTCCAACTCCCGACTCCGACTCCGCAGACCTAGCAGGGCTGCGGAGTCGACAGATTTTCGGTGACTCCGACTCCGACTCCGGCTCGGGTTTCTAAAATCGACTCCGACTCCGACTCCGACTCCGGTCACAACTGTCGACTCCGACCGACTCCGACTCCGACTCCGACTCCGACTCCGCAGCCCTGCTAACTACCATGTTTAACCTTTAATCTAAAGTATGGGACTACTTGCCCGGGCCGTGGGGCGTTTTGCCCTGGGGTTGGGGCAAAATGCCAATTTGCAGTTGCTTCACAAATCACTTCCTAGCTAGGAGTCCGATCATAAGTGAATGAATTTGAGGGGTGCAACTTAGCCCGCGCCCCACTGGGGGGGGGCTATTTATAGCCCCCCCCCCCTCCCGTTTTTCTGCAATAACTTCCAAACCGCTTGACGTATCGACGCCCGACGCCAAACTTTCAGTACCTTCGGCTGCATCAATTTGACACCTTGTGTCAAAATTTGAACTTCGTACCTACCATAGGTCGGCTGGAAATGACGTCAGAGTGACGTCATGTTCGGCCGATTTCGAGCAAAACATTGAACCACGGCAATCGCTCCCAAGAGCTCAGTTTTTAAGCTAGATCCGATTTCTTTGCATGAGAGGACTCAAAATAGACTGCGCTATCAAACTGCTATCTCGGATTTCCGAAATTTTGAAAATTTCGAAAATTTTATATAATAAAATTCAAAATTTATATTTTTACATTTAAAAAAAATGACTTTTGGAAAAAACGGAATATATATGATAGAACGCATTAAAATGACTAACTCTAGCAAGTTTTAGCTAAATATCTTAAAAATGGCCAAGTTATACGCATTATTGCAAAAAATTAACAATTATTAATTTTTCAAATCAATTTTTCAGCACGAATTTGACATCGTACGCCAATATAAATAGCACCATCGTGTTCCTGAGCTCAAACTGCATCCAATAGACACCTTTTTTGTTGAAAAATTTTAACTTCAAAATTTGACCTTTTTTGACCTGAAGTGAAAGTGACCTGACCTAAGCTAAATTTGACTCAAAATGACCTCGAATGACACAGACGACATCAAATTCGAAATGTTTGGCCTAAATGGACCATAAAACATGTGTCACGTGACCGACGGATGATATAATATTTCCGTGACCTGTGATGACCTGACCTTGACCTGAAAATCAAAGTACAAGTTTGGTACCCTCAGAGTATCTAAAGCATCTGTTCACGAGTGTGTGAACCAAAAATGAGCCTGATCTGACTTGTAAGACGGCGGCCAGAGGCGCCCAGAGCCCAAAACGTGAAGAAGCCAAAATGCTAATAACTTTTACTTTGACCTGACCTGTGACGTCATCGGTGACCTCGAGGTCAATGAAATTAGGTTTCGTGCGACAGTTTTTCCGGAGCTATCAGACGCCGTTTGAATTTTGACGATCGGCCCAGTAGTTTCGGAGTTAGGGCGTGTTATACGCAGTAGGGCGTGTTATACGCAGACCCCAGTGGGGCGCGGGTTAAAGTAAAATGTCCAAAGAACGCATTGAGCACAAATTTCGCCTTCAAGGTGATGTGGGACAAAAGTTTTATAGCAAAATAAATTACATATCTGGGGCGTCTTGCCCCAGGCTACCCTAGTCCGGAGTCCCCATGGGTGGAGAATCGTTTTCAAAGTTGGTGTGGCGCCAGTTGCTTGGAACAATGCTTTGTGCTATATAGCAGAAACGTTGACCGCAGCTATAATGCAAATGCAGTTGCCAAAATATTTTATAAGCATATTAGTATCCAGGGGATTACTTGTCTTCTTTCCTGAAACTCACTGTTCATAATCATCATCATCATTTATTACGGAGCGAGCGAAGCGAACGTAGTCGTCTTTCCTTTTCTTTCTTTCTGATTTTTCTGAGATTTTCTGAGAATTTTCTGAGCTTGAGCGGCCGGCCTGCGGACGCTTTTGCGAGGCTTATAGCTCAGCAACCACTTGACCGATTTACATGCGGTAATTTTTGTAGGGTAGCTTCATTCCTTCTACCAAGTACTGGACTATTCCCGATGCATGTGGGTGACATGTGCAAAACGAAGAGGTGTCAGTTTTGCAAAGGTCATATCTCGGTAACTACTTGCCGATTGCGCTGAAAGTTGGCATGTATAGGTAGGCACCCACTAGGCAATGCATACCTATCCATGTGCCAGAGTTGGGGTGCTGCTGCACGTGCGCACGTGTAGGGGTCGATTCCAGATCTCGAGAACGGCTGGACCGATTGCGCTCAAATGTGGTACACGGTTAGGGAGCAGTTAGTAGGGTGCCGTGCACAAGTCAGATGGGACACATTTTGCACGTGCGCACGTGCATGCCGCAGGGTGCCGCTTCCAGATCTCGAGAACGGATGGGCCGATTGTGCTCAAATTTGGCACATCGCTAGAGACCGGTTAGTAAGGTGCCGTGCACAAGTCAGTTGGAGGTACCCCCTCGAAATTTCGCGCGTGCAAGGCCCACCCTCTCGCTCGCTCCGTTAGTCGCCCCCAAAGCCGTTATACCTACTGGTTCTTATGTCCATCCATGGAAAATGTCTTTTCGGGACAAAGGTCAAAATACATGCAAAGATAAAATACGCATACGAAAGCTAATAGTAACATTAAAATGCACAACACTCATACGAAAATTTTATATTTGTTCATGAAACAAGTATTTTTATTTTATATTTTATATTTTTATAAAACTGAAATCCTTAACCCTCGCATGTAGGGGGGTCGGATGCACCCCCATGGTTTTTCGCGAATAACTCGCGCAAAAAGCGGCCGATCGCGACGAATCTTTCAGTACCCTCGAGTTGATCAATTTTACACCCTAAAAATTTCATGACCCTGACCCAAGTGACCTTTGACCTGTGACCTATTTTTCGAGGTCAGAAGGCCCCCTACATATTAGAAGCTGGCAAACGCCGCACACAAGCGAGGGTTAAATTTCATAGTTTTACCCTGCTGAAAAGTTGGTATGGTATTGCCATACCATCTTTCAAGTTGGTGTGGCGCATGCCATACCCGCCATACCACATTCTCCACCCGGCCATGCCTATGCAAGATTACATTTAGGGGAAAGTGGGTGTATTGCGCCCTCCTAACCAATTGCGCCCACCAACATTCCCACGGATTCAATGGCATGTTTAGAATTTTGTGTTCGAAAACATTATTTTCACCACTGGATTGTTCATTTTATGGCCCAAACACTCCGATGAAGCCAATCAGCAAGGCTCATTACGCCATCAAAGATGTTATGGCGTTTTCTTAACTTTTTTGCAGTGTTTTGAACCGTTGGCTATAAAAATTTGCGATATTTGTGTGATTTTCAGAATGATATTTAGAAAGATCAAAACCCTTTTTTCATTGTATTTCACTGAAACCATAAACTTCCTGCAACATCTTTATGATAACTTCTATGCTTTTATTAAAAAGTACCACAATTTTAATTGCGCCCATGGCAATTGCGCCAGGAGGGCGCAAATAGAATAATAGTGTAGCCATTGTATCACGACAGTATGAATGCATCATTAACTGATTGCAATAAAGAAGGAGTTTAATGTCAGGCAAGGGAGCAGCCCGCTGTCGTCAGTCCGCAAATTATTTCTATCGTCAAACTTATAATGCAGCTGCCATTTAGGCTACGACTTGTGGTGTAATTGACAAAATACAACATTTTCAACATGGACTCAGGCGTGAGGAGTGACAGCAAAGCAATGATAAAAAGTAAAAACTGATGCCATTAAGCTGTCAAAACGATAAAAATTATTAATTTTGAGAGAAACGAGTGAAAATTAAACTGAATAGGCGCATACGTTCACATATATCTAGTCGGTTACAGTAAACGTTTTCGTTGCACTTTTACAAGCGTACGGACACATGTAAAGTTATCTACCTGGGCAAAAAACATCGCAAGGTATATCTACATTTATTATTTATCCAGCCTGAATAACATAATAAATGTTTAAGTAAGCCGCAATGACATTAGACTGCCGGGGTGAATGCATTCAGTCTCATTCACTTAGCCATGTTCAAGTATAGGGCGCAATTGGGTTCTAATTGCGCCATCCCCCTGGCGCAATTTACACCAGTTGTTGGCAAATGCGCTAAGGTGGCGCAATTCACCCTCCTTCCCCTACTCCTCATATTATGCCTCTGGTGAAAAAATAGCACAAATTGACAGACACCTGAAACTTATTGCAGTTTGACAAGCATCAACAAATAGAAAGTGGCGCAGCAAGTTCCTTATTTCTGTTCATTAGCATGAAAGTTATGCCAGAGGAAAAATCATGAATGCATGGTGAATACGATGATTTGTCGATAGTACTGCTTCAGATGACAGACAAAAGCTCATGAACACTACCTTTTAATGAAAAGTAATTTTTCTTGAAAAATGCATGAACAAATGCATGGAGTTGAAGTGTTTTTATATATCAATATCTTTTGGTAGGGGCAAGGCCGTATGGTAGGGTAGGGGCATATAAAAGAGACCTAAGGTCAAGATACTTTGATTTGCGATTATCGAGCGAAGCTGGTAAGCATAGTTAGGAGTTGAAACTGGAAGGTTTTGTAATAAATTGGTATGATGCTGCAGCTTTCATGGGTAGAACGTCAAGTAGGTATTAACTTGGATCAGGATTAGATAGGGCAATAAATAGGTATATGTTTAACTTGTAGCCTTGTATCACATCCATCACAATATTCAATTGACTCGATTATTGCTGTTAGTTAGCCACTAGATAGGTACCTAGATAAGCAGTGCAGTAATCCATTATTCTTACATGAGCGGATGAGCCTGCATTCTGACTAGGCCCACGGGAAAGATGTATCAGTATTGCTAAACAGGTGTTTTGACAACTCCATAGGTACATTTGGTCAAACATCTATGTTTCCTTAGTCTGACTCTGAGGAGAGGTTTGATAATACATTTGTTATAGTTCATTTTTTTCTAAGTTCGACCCTCACTGTAAACGCCTCTTTGATCAAAGCACAAGAATTGCTAGCTGAATTTCTGAGAGAGTGTTCAGCTCACATTGATTTCACAGACGATCAACTTTTATCAAAATTATTCCTACCAGGCTCCTATTTTCCAAGACTCTCAGCTCGTATTTGCCTATATTTACGACACATGTATATAAGGCTTAACAGGAGTTATAATTGAAATAATTAATGCATTGCTCAGCATTTTTTTATAATGGCACATCATTGGTGTTCAAAACTTATTTGGAAAATATTATTGATATCTCTAATATGCTGTGCGCTAGCTAGTTTTCTCAGTAATTCAGCTAGTAATTCTTGTGCTGTGTTAAAAAAGATGTTTACAGTGAGCGTCGAACTTAAAAAAAAATGAACTATAATAAAAGCTGCACAACATGAGCTGGCGTGTCCTAGTTAATTGTGGTTGCAACACTTATTTTGTGGACTGTAAGTAATTTTAACCTTGCTAAAAATTACCTGTTTAATGTTTATAGTAGAGTAATACCAATATGCATAGGCATCATAGAGTATAGTAATAACAATTTATATTAGAGGTAGTACCTAATCTGCCTACCACAAGGCGAAAGGTGTTTGCTGTAAAGCAAACAAAGTTGATATAAGGCTCAGTTGAAACTTGAAAGTGCTTGTTACAATGTTAGATTATCTAGCAATAGAGGTTCTGCACTATGTATCAAATCTGTAGGCAAACCAAAGCATGGAGGAAACAGCCTTAGGTAGATGTATTGACTCTTTGCTGTCCCTTAGTCCCCATTCCTGTATTTTCATGTTTGATGTCTGGGAAAGGATTCCAACACTGTTCTTCTGGAACCATGCATGAACATAAATGCTTAACTCTGAAGTAGGTGCTGAAAATGTCACATTTGACACTGATCATGAGGATGTTTCAATTGATTAGGAGTAGTGGCTAAGCCAATGGACTTGGTGTGCCAAAATAGGAATCATGATGATAAATTCTCTTGATGTAGTGAATTCCAGGTCATGTGACATGCATCTACACATGCATGATGCAACTTGGCAATTTAGATGACAATCCAGCTCAATAAACCATTCTGCTGCCCCTTATCATCTTTCACCAAGCTGCCTCTCTATTTGTGTATTTTTTCTTTTGCTGACATTATTAATTAATCATGCTCTGATTTAACCAGACTGATGTTCGCTAAACTTTAGTTTAAAGAGTTTTTTACGCATAGCTATTAGCTATTTGTATCTTCCTACATAATGCATGGCTTTATGTAGGAAGATGCAGTGCATACAGTACAGTGCATTTGGATTTCTTTTGTCATAAAAAGTTCACACTGTTCTCTGTCAATAGCAGAGTCACCAAACCAGCAGAGTAGTCCAGAAGTGAGCTCAGCCGGACACTGGCCAGCAGCAGCGGTATGCCCGGCCCGGGTCAGCCGCCGGCCGCGGCGCCGGCCCCCAGCCTGCCGGGCTACCAGCTCATGGAGCGGCTCGGCTCCGGCACGTATGCTGACGTGTACCGGTGCGTGTGCGGCGCCGACCGCCGCCAGCTGGCGCTCAAGTGCGTGCATCGCTCGCGTCTGAACCGCCGCGCCACCGACAACATCGTCTCGGAGATCAGCCTGCTGAAGCGGCTGCAGCACCCGAACGTGGTCGCGCTGCACGACTTCGGCTGCGATAAACAGTGAGTGTAACACCCTGAAGACGTGTGGGCACGAACTTTAGATAGGGGAACGTCTGATTGTGCATGCTTGCCAAAATTTTCAACATCGGTTTCACGTCCTCGCATTGGTCTTGCCTCGACAAACCAATGCACGCACTGCACACCCTTGTGTTATCGTTTCATCGCGTTCCTCACTCATGGCCCAAAAGTCAAATCGTTTCTCTCTCTACAGCTACGTGTATATCGTCATGGAGTTGTGTTCGGGCGGAGACCTATCCCAGCTGATCCGGTCACGCCGCCGACTGCCAGAGAGTATGGTGCGTCAGTTTCTGCGTCAGCTCGGTCTGGCCATGCAGTACCTGCACTCGCACAGCATCTCCCACATGGACCTGAAGCCGCAGAACCTGCTGCTCACCTCCGACTCGCCTCCGACACTCAAAGTGGCCGGTCAGTGCACGGAGCGGAGGTGATGGCTGGGCGCGCACCTGTGGTGGCGGAGGGTGTTTGCTGGCTTAGCTGGGTGCGACGATGTAAACATTGGTGGAGATGGTGTGAGGCATAAGTTTAAGTGATGTATTTGCTAATATTTACACGACAAAATTGCGACTTCCCTAATCCCTCTAATGCTGCGTAGGACGTTTTCGTATGTCAATCATCAGTGAACTTATTTCGGTGGTGTGGATTTCCGCGTGTTATGCATACTCTGGCTGCCGTAGATGTCGTGTTGTAGCGACTGACTCGGTTCGCCGCCTGCGGTAGATTTCGGTTTTGCCGACTATCTGATGCCCGACGCGGAGACTGAGGGCGGTCTGCGCGGCAGTCCGCTGTACATGGCACCGGAGATTGTCACCAAGGGCGTGTACAGCGCCAGCGCCGACCTCTGGTCCATCGGTGAGTGTGGCAGAAGTGACAATAATCGTCTGTGTAACTGTCAAATTTAGTAACGGTAGGGAGTGATCATGTAATCGTCGAGATGCGGGAACCCAGAGAGGTGGAGTATTATATTGGACTGACAGACTGACAGACTGACTAACTGAAGTGAAAACTTCGGTGATATGTTCACTGAACAAATAATGTCATGCATGGTTCTATTTTCAGGTGTTATACTCTACGAATGTTTGTTTGGAAGAGCTCCCTATTCTTCGTCAACCATTGAAGAACTTCTGAAGAAAATCAAAGAGGATAAACCTGTCGAGGTAGGCATCGACTAATCTCGTTACCAGTCGTCTGCCGTGCAAAGGCAAAAACGCATAACTAACAATTTTGGCAAAATTTGTTTTTTTATACCATTCGATTCCTCTCTATGAGCTACACATGCTCATATCAATATTAAAGTCTATACGTCATTTAATAACTAAATATTTCATATATAAGTTTGGAAAAAGCACACACAACACAATTAGGCAGGCATCCACAGAGGCAAAAACACATAACTTTTACATATCTACTCCCTGCTGGTAATCGTCTGGATTAAATAATCCTCCTTCCAAAACAAAAACGCATATCTGTTGCAGATATGCGTATTGTTGGTCTCCGTGTGCAGTAATGTCTTTGCATTCCAAGAAAAAAACGCATATCTGTGCAGATACGCGTTTTTGGCTCGGTAAACAGTGAACGAGCAACGTAGATGTGCGTTTTTGTCGTGGTGGAGCGATTCTCAATTATGTTCTTTCGACGAACTTTGCAGATATGCGTTTTTGACCGCTTCTCCTGAGCGGAGGTATCGTAGTGAAACACGTGATTCTTTTTTCGATGAGTGAATCAGCCGTGAAAAGGGAAAGGCTCGTAACCAATATTATTTGCGAATGTAAGTTCTTGAATCATTGGATTCCACTATATTATCACAATGAGGACAATGAGATGATCCATTTCATTCAAGTCGGGGGCCCCCTAATCATTAGACCGCCGAAGACCGTGTTAAAATGAGATGAAATCAAGATTGAAAAGACCGGGAGGGCCCATCTCGTTCCCCAGCAGTCTTAGGTATATGAGTCCATAAAATGCCTAGTAGCGCAGCCAGGGTGATTGTGGTGAAATTGCAATGGCACTCAAAAGGCCTCAAAGGGCCCACGGATGGCGTGACAGGGTCCTCGGATGGTCTCGAGGGCCATCAGTTAGCGTCAAATGGCCCTCATCTGGTGTCAAAGGGCCCTCAGATGGCTTCAAAGGGCCCTCAATTAGCGTCAAAGGGCCTCATCTGGTGTCAAAGGGCCCTCAGATGGTGTCAAGGGGCCCTCAGATGGCCTGAAAGAGCCCAAGATGACCTCAAAGGCCTTTCAAATGGCCTCAAAGGGCCCTCACCAACGTCAAACGGACCTCAGAAGGCCTTCAAGGGCGTCAAAGGGCCCTGAGCTGGCGTCAGAGGGCACTGAGCTCGCGTCAAACGGCTTTCCGAAGGCCTTAAAGGGTCCTTAGCTGATGTCAGAGGACCCCCAGCTGGTGTCGGAGGGCCCTCAGCTGGCGCCAAATGGCCATCAGAAGGCCACGAACGGTCCTCAGCTGGAGTCCAACGGTCCTCAGCTGGCGTCAAGCGGCCCTCAAAAAGCCTCAAGGGGCCCTTAGAAGGCCTCAAGGGGCCCTCAGAAGGCCTAAAAGGGCGTCAAAGGGCCCTGAGCTAGCATCAGAGGGCCCCAGCTGTTGTCAGAGGGATCTGATCTGGCGTCAAACTTAAAGAGCCCTTAGCTGGCGTCAGAGAGCCCCCAGTTGGTTCAGAGGGTCCTCAATTGGCGTCTAATGGCCATCAAAAGGCCCCAAACGGTCCTCAGCTGACGTCAAGAGGCCCTCAAAAGGCCTCAAATGCCCCTCGGCTGCTCAAAGGACCCTTAGAAGGCTTCAAAGGGAACTCAAGATACGTCAAACAGCCCTCAAGAGACCTTAAACGGCTCAAAAGTCAAAAGTCTAAAGGCTTGAAAGGGCCCTCTGCTGGTGGCAAAAGGCTCGCACCTGTCAATAGCCCCACGGCCCACAGCAGTGTTTCTAAAAGCCACCACGACGGCACCTGCGAAGCTCCTCACGCCACCTCCAAGGGACCCACACCAGCGCATCTTAAGGGCCTACATCGGCGGCTCTGAGAGTCCCCACACCGACGCCTAGTGAGGGCCACGTACCAGTGACTCTGAGGGCCTCTTACCAGCCTCTGAGTGTCCTTGCCAGCCTATGAAGGGCCACTTTCCACTTGCAGGCCACTCTGCACGGCCACACACATGCCAATGATGGCCCCACCAGTGTCTCTAAGCCCTGAGACCCCGCAACGGCGCCTGTGAGGACCAAAACCAACGCATCTGACGGCCTTCCACTGGCACCTCTGAGCGCGCCACACACCGGTGACTCTGAGGACGGTGACTCAGAGGAGCTCGCTCGCTTCTCTCGCTCGTAAAATACTATGTAACTTAGACATAAGTGTATATTAGGGACACTCCTCGGGCATAAATGATACATTTACTTGCCAATTTTCCACATTTTCTCACGGCAAAGACCGTTTTAAAGAGGCCCGTCTGCCAGTGGGACTAGACCCACCGTGCCCCCTCCCCCCTTCCCATCGAAAGGTCCTGGATACGTCCTTGCCTGGGCTGACCCCGGGCCCCCGGATGACTCGCGGGCCCCTTCAAGAGCGGGTGACCCCTTCTTGGACGAAATCCTTGGTACGTGTCTGACGTACATCGTACGTAGTCCTTCTGATTTGATTCATCGGTCAAATATTTAATATAAGTTATAAGCTGGATCTCTGGTCTGTGATCTCGCATCGTATCAGATACCTATAATGCCATTGCATGTCAATGTGCCTAAATAGGTAAATACGCGAATATGCGTGAAAAAGAGTGCTGCTCCCGCTCCTACACGTCCGGACCAAACAGTGACTGGCCCCTGCTTCCAGCCACCCGGGGCCGGTCGGCTGGCCGGCAGTCCGTCGCTGCCCGGGGCTGATTTCTGAGGGACTTGCAAAAACGCTTATTAATTGAACGTTTTACCATGTTTTACGTAATGACTTAGATGATTAGGTATATGTACCGACTCTGAGACTGTGTCCCCTTTGAATAAAACATGCCAGCGTAAAACAAATATTATAAATGTTTTGAAAATTAAGCTGGTGTTTTGCCATGCATTGACAAAAACTAAAGCTTCAACGCAAATAGTTCATCCCTCAATTACTATATTAGCGTGAAATGTTCAGTGCATTTCTTTCAGAAAAAAAAAATAGTGGCGCATGTTGCCGTGTAAGCATCAAGTCAATTGGCCCAAAACTTTGCTAATAACAAAAGTGTACCGTGTAAACAACATCCCGCCGCCTGGCGCCTCAGCGGCCGTTATCCTAATATAAGGCCTTGGCTGTTATTAGCCGCCTAAATTAAAGACTGTGCCGGCGCCGGACATTTCCGTCTTTGCAATGCGCTGTAACCGCTGATAATAATCGATTCGCTTCTAAACCCCAATGGAGTCTTGCAAATGTACTGGCAATTTAATGATCAAAGAAATACGAAAATCGGCCGGTAAAATTTTGAGTTACGAGGGTTTACCTATGCACAAAATTGCGGCTGAAACTTTCCGCGTCGGCTGATCCCGCCGTAACCGGAACAGGGGGGGGCATAGGGGCCATGCCCCCCCCATGGAGCTCAAAAGGGCCCCCATCGCGGTGTCATAAGTACGGTAAGGGGCACAATAAAAGTAGCGTATAAACTATAAAGTCCACTGGGTTCGCGGGGCCTTTCGGGCCTGAGACCTTGCCGCTAGGGCCCTCTGGGCTCTCTTCATTGGTCATAAAAGGGCCCTTCGGGCCTGAGGCTTTGCCACTGGGCCCTTGGGGCCCTCTCCATTGCAGTGTGGCCAAATTGGTAATGTTGCGGGGAAAGTCACCCCCAATGAAAAGTATAATGACATCCTCAGAAATTTTAAAATTACATCATATTCATCACGACGTTTTTGTCGTGAAATCATACCTACCTAGTGTAGGAATAAAGACTGAAAATGTTCCAATGTACGTCGATTCGCACCGTCATACTCGTACTGTCGCGCTTGCAATGTCGTTTTTTTACATCTTTTACATCTTACGTCGTGGTGTTTCTAAAAGCCACCACGACGGCACCTGCGAAGCTCCTCACGCCACCTCCAAGGGACCCACACCAGCGCATCTTAAGGGCCTACATCGGCGGCTCTGAGAGTCCCCACACCGACGCCTAGTGAGGGCCACGTACCAGTGACTCTGAGGGCCTCTTACCAGCCTCTGAGTGTCCTTGCCAGCCTATGAAGGGCCACTTTCCACTTGCAGGCCACTCTGCACGGCCACACACATGCCAATGATGGCCCCACCAGTGTCTCTAAGCCCTGAGACCCCGCAACGGCGCCTGTGAGGACCAAAACCAACGCATCTGACGGCCTTCCACTGGCACCTCTGAGCGCGCCACACACCGGTGACTCTGAGGACGGTGACTCAGAGGAGCTCGCTCGCTTCTCTCGCTCGTAAAATACTATGTAACTTAGACATAAGTGTATATTAGGGACACTCCTCGGGCATAAATGATACATTTACTTGCCAATTTTCCACATTTTCTCACGGCAAAGACCGTTTTAAAGAGGCCCGTCTGCCAGTGGGACTAGACCCACCGTGCCCCCTCCCCCCTTCCCATCGAAAGGTCCTGGATACGTCCTTGCCTGGGCTGACCCCGGGCCCCCGGATGACTCGCGGGCCCCTTCAAGAGCGGGTGACCCCTTCTTGGACGAAATCCTTGGTACGTGTCTGACGTACATCGTACGTAGTCCTTCTGATTTGATTCATCGGTCAAATATTTAATATAAGTTATAAGCTGGATCTCTGGTCTGTGATCTCGCATCGTATCAGATACCTATAATGCCATTGCATGTCAATGTGCCTAAATAGGTAAATACGCGAATATGCGTGAAAAAGAGTGCTGCTCCCGCTCCTACACGTCCGGACCAAACAGTGACTGGCCCCTGCTTCCAGCCACCCGGGGCCGGTCGGCTGGCCGGCAGTCCGTCGCTGCCCGGGGCTGATTTCTGAGGGACTTGCAAAAACGCTTATTAATTGAACGTTTTACCATGTTTTACGTAATGACTTAGATGATTAGGTATATGTACCGACTCTGAGACTGTGTCCCCTTTGAATAAAACATGCCAGCGTAAAACAAATATTATAAATGTTTTGAAAATTAAGCTGGTGTTTTGCCATGCATTGACAAAAACT